GATTATATTTCAGACAATTCATTGATGATGATACATTGATAAGGCATTAATTCATTATATTTTGATAAAATGCAAATTTTGCAGACGTTTAAATCAAAACCCTGTATCTGTTCCTCCACTTTTAAAATTCATCCTCGTTTCAATGTGACAGCTCACAAATGTTTTTATTTTTAATGAAACAGAAATTAGGTGATAAAAGCAGGCTGTGGGGACAGGTTATCTAACATCTGGCTGGGAGGACTGAGAGGGACACTGGTCCAGGTCTGGGGAAGCTTCTTTGGGACACTGAGGAACCAGCAGCTGCTCATTGAACAAGACATGATTTCAGTTCAAGATCAGAAAAAGTCACCGGATTCTGCAACTTTTTAATCTATTTTTATTTATTTATTTTATTTTATTTTTTTAGATTTGTTAGAAAGATCATAAAACTGACTGAAGGTTCTGGTTTCCTGCCTGTGGTTGATTGATGAACACTGAGTGAAAACCAGTCCCAAAGAGACGGGCTCTTCAGGACGTTAAAGTCTGCTGAGGCCTCAGAGGCCCGGTTCTGTCAGCCTGAGATGTTTCCTCTGGAGGTTCTGCAGGTCTGCTCATCCTTATCAAATGCTCTGACATGTAGGAGCTGAAAACTGGGTCCAAACGGGTCGGTCCTCAAATCAAACCCACGTCGGACTCTTCCTGTGTGGATCAGTCATCCTGAGAGTTGGTCTGCTCTTCCTCCTCCTCCTCTTCCTCAGGGACAGAAGTTTCCAGTTTCCCTGTGCAGAAACATCCATCACTGTGACATCACTGTGACATCACTGTCCTCATGATCTGTGTCACACATTTAACCAGTTTAACTCTTTTTTATTTCTCTGTTTATTCTGCAGAATAAAAAGTCTCTTCATTAAAAACAACCTGATGTGATAAAACCTTAGTTACACCAGATTTATACATTTATTAACACAATAATCTGTTGGGCAAAAACTGTTTCTGCCTTTGAATGTTTCCACACTCTACCAGGGGCTTTTATTTTGAAAACCAGGGTGTCAGTTGACTTCCTCCAGTTCTTACCTTTAGTTTGACACCCTTACATAAACATTATGTCAGAAGGCTTTTAAACAAGTTCAGTTATGGGGTTGTTTTTAATGCTGTAAAAGAAAAGTAAAAATAATCAGAATAAACCAACTTTTCTGAAGGAGTTTAAAACAAAGAGATAAAAACTATGAACTGAAGAACTCTGGAGTTTAAAACAGATTGTAGAAGATTTCTGTTTAAATTCTTCATGAAAACTATTTAGACTCATTAGAACTTCATGATTTTAACTTTCAGGAAACATGTTTGGATCGGATTCAGTTTTGGAAACAAACTGATTCAAAATGGCCGCCAAGATCTTTGTTTATAACTGTTAGCAAAATATCTTTCACTACTGGACAGATGTTAAAGAAACCTTCAAAGAGTCATCGTTCACTGTATATATATATG